ATTCTAACGTTAAGGCTCAAAAGAAATGGCAAGGTATGTTCGTCCCAAAACTACGAACGTTGTGGAGGACCCACATCAGATGATAATGGCGACAACGTCCAACTCTGAAGGGATATTGCCACTTGCATCCTCGGGAGCCCATCGGGTCTCAAGACGAGATCCGATGGCGAGGACGGCAAGCAGATTAATCTTCCATAAACGTAACAGGCCCCAAGCGTGAAAAAAGTAACTGGAGCCTTGACTAGGTTCATGGGGTGAATGAAATGGAACAGACAGGGAGAAAATGTATGGGAACGGTCAATTGTACCGTCGGTGACTCGGCCAACACAGACTTCCGATGAATTCAAACAATCTTAAAAGTATCTTGTATCATTGCGTCGTTCGATGGGTGGTGGCGATAGGCGAACAGATTGATGTTATTGGGAAAGAGGAACAGCAAAGTTTGTCGCTGAAGTTTTTCTCTTATTGCCATGCAAGATATTCCCACGGATGACGGGGTTTGAAAATCAGACGCCTGCCAGTGCTCTCCCTCGACCTTCCTCAACAGAATTGAAACCTAAAAGGATACAGGAAGATGTGCAACGATGAAAGTGGTTTAAAAATATAGGTATATTTCTCTCAAATGAACTTCAGAAATGATTCTAATAAAGCTACACACTATCACCTGCGACTGCCTCTGCGTATCCCACTCTATCCTTGGCCTGGTCAAGCAAATTGAGCTTTGATTTTTAATAGGAGTAAAAACAAATTAAAAACAATCACCTCGTTAATTAAATCACGGTCTATTTCAGGGAACTCCTCTAGCGGTGTATCATCCGATGGGACGACATGCCATATCGTCGGCTCGTTCTTGACGAATAGGCACAAATCTTCTGGGAGATAAGGCCCATATTCAGCATTAAAATGAGTTCTTAGTTCGCTTTCCTCTAGTGTCGTAAAGGTAGATATCATAAATAAGACGGATTAATTTGGAGCCCGAGAGAGAATTAACCGACCTTGTGACATCGCATTCAATTGCCGCGTCATGCCTTGCAAAAATACATCTACTCCTTCCCTGTAATTCCGTCTTCGTGATATTTCCAAAATTAATTTGTTAAATGCCATCCTGTAAGCAACAAAACGTTCGTGAAGTTGTGTTAGGGTTGTGAGATGATGATGAAGTTCTGCCAATTCCGCTTCTGCTTCCAACTGGAGTAACAGATGGTGTCAACCCAAAAAATAACCACTTGTGAACACGGTCTTTACCTCAACTTTCTCTTGAGTCTGCAGCATTTCCGCCATAATTTCTCCCAGCTTATCGAGATCAGTTAAAGTCTTGTCAAGTTGTTGAACATCCAATTGGAGATCTTCCTTCATCGTATTTAGCTGGGACCTATAGTATCGGTGTTGAGCATCCACGTTCGTAACAGTTTTTTCACCCTTACTGGTAGCTCTCAACCGCCGCGAAATTGTGATCTAGCTCCGCCATTATAGATGGCAGCTCATCCGTATCTCTGTTCATGGCTAGCATAGGGATTCATTTTGTTAGGAAGACCGAAACTGAAATATTTTGACACCATACCCATCAAGTCTTCTTCGCCAAATATTTCTCCGGACTCAGATTCGTGCAATGCAGTAGCCATGTTGTCGTAGTGGCCAGTTAGGTTCTCCAAAAGCCCAGCCATCGCATTCACTATCCTTTCCTGAGCTATAATGAGTTCCTGCACCTTGGGAAGTGCAGGCCCCCCTGGAGACTTAGGATCGGGTTGATTGAACCTTGTGTAGTCGTTCTTGGAGACAGGTTTATTAACCCCAGCAGAGACCGGAAGCGAGGAGTGTATACGCTGAATTGTTTTCGAGAGGATTTCCGGATAATCATCTGTAGAGCTCAAAATATCCTGTATTTTGTGATAAATTATCAAGGCCTGCAAGCATCTGGACGAACGTTCACCTCCAAACCTTGACGGTCTTTGTCAATCATCTCATGCATTTCTTCGATTCCCTTGTCGTCCACAAAATCGCGCAACGTCTTCCAGTTCTTCCGATTTGGTGTGGACTTGAATTTCTGGTCGGATACCTTCTCATCATGACGACGTAAAGTCGCGGAAGGTGACGTCGGTGACATGGACACATTGGACTTTCGTGAGGTTTTGATAGGCGTTCGCGGAGGACTTTTTGGTCCGCTAGAGGTTGTATGTGGCGTCCGTTCGATGATGAAGTCGTCAGTTGGGTGGTCATTTCCCTCCGCTGAATTCTGACTGCCAAATAGAGAGGAATCTGCTGTTGATTCATGGAAGTCTGGGGGAACGCCCTGCGATCCAAGGGAGTCCAGGATGTCGTCTAGAGCATTCGTGCGTTGTATTCGTGCACTATCCCATTCCTATTTTCATTGAGTTTCCATGATGATATGTAAGGTGAGATTGGGACGGAAATAGCACAGTATTTGATTTGATTCGTACATTGATTTCTTTCATGAGTACAGACCGTTTTTCTTCCAAACTTTTAGCCACCACTGCGGCTAACTACGAGAGTTTGTGAGCACCCAGTTTAAATGGTAACCCGTTGCTATAGCCACATGTTCCACTCATGCGCCTAATAGCAGAGCTAAAGAAGGCATATTAAGGAAACTTACTGCTAACTGTTCGGAGACGGCTTGCCCCAGCCATTTCACTTTAGCGTCAAGAGCCAGTACATCAATTGCACAGGCCGCGGAGCTATTAGATAGCGCATGAGCCTTCAGACATAGCTGCTCCCCATGCTGTAGAGCCTTCTTAGACTGCAATACCAGCGTAATAAGATGAGGTAGTGACTGTGTTGGTGTTGATGTGAACCGAGTCTGCGGAGATGCAGAAGGGGTCTGATTATGGCTTGAAATGGCAGTTTTTGGCGATCCAAAAGACATGGGAGAGGACATTGCTATGACCCTAAAAGGTAGTCACCGAGGTATAAACAGACTCAATGGTGGAAGTGGACAGGGATGGCAGTCCGTTCAGGAGGTGTTGTGAGCCATCACCAAAAGTGGAAAATACCCCCTTAGGACACAAGTAAACTCCGACAAGTTCAAAATCTGTCTTTGAAGTTTGAACTTGCACCCAGTCTTTTTGTATCGCTTGTGTGGTCTCAAAATCAAGCACTTCGTCATGTTTTAAGATATCAGCTAAATATTTATCTTCTAGGGTTTTGTCACTGGCAATGTCGCCACATCGAGAGATATTAGAGCAACACAATGGAGTACATCCCCGACGCGGTGTAGGCCTCCGTCACCTGTTCTCCAAACCTCCATTATTCGGGCAACATTTCATTGCGAGGCCCGTATCATGGTATTAACCATATCTTACCCTCAAGCTCTATTTCCTTGTGACTTCCCACCCATGTGCAAACCTCTATGCGACATATTTTTGTTTTCTCGCATGGGTCGGTCGTTTCACTTGAAAGCACCGACCTGCCTGGTGTACTGCATTCCTCGACAGCAGAATGTCACGCCTCATCGCGGACTTCGCTTCCAAATATTCTGATAACACCTAGTATGGGTTATACTATCATTGTAAAGGACATCCGGCTCCCAATAACGACTTACCGAGCACAGGCTCCTTCAGCAACTCTCGTATAAAACGACCTTCAGAAAACATGAAGTTGTCATCTCACTACTTCAACAACAACTTCAGTACTACGTCTTTAATACAATGCTCAACCTTATTGACCTCCCAGAATTCTCTTGGCTTCCTCCTGCCTCAATATTCGAGGAAAAGCCAGACAACCAACCTTCAAATCCGGCCGAAAGGGTGAGTCTCTTGTCTACTTTAGCTTTCAGCCACTCTTAATCAAAGTTTAAATCCGTAGACACTCCAGAGTTCCAACGATTCAAACCTGGCGACTGAAATCCGCGAAATTGTGACCGACATGCTCAACACTTGTCAAGTTCCCTACTCGATTCTTCCCTACGACCAAGAGTTGCACAACCTTTGCATTGAAGAGTGCCTCAAAAAGGGCTACCTTCTTGACAGGGACGATCCCAAATACTCTATCGAAAAGTATATTGCATCCGGTATCTATCTGTCCCCAGCCTACAAACACCTTCCCAACATTTCCACTCAAGTATGGATTGCGATCTTCACTGCTTTTGGGACGTGTATCGACGATGTCATGGACATGGATCACCTTTCGCACTTGGAAGAGTTTGGTGGAAGACTTGTCACAGGCCGAACACAAGCAAACCCTATCCTTGATGGTTTCGCGCGCTTGTTGAAGGAAATTCCGCAACACTGGCGCGGTCTGCAAGGCGATATCATCCTCAGCTCCAGTATCACTTATATTTCGGCCTGTATAATTGAGCTCCAGACTGAAGGGGACCAGGTAAGAGAAAGATGATCCTGCTGCTTGGTTCCCGACTGACGAAATTGTCCTTTAGCCCTCAGTTCATGCGCGACGCTATCCAACTTTCCTTCGTGTCTTAAGCGGAATTTGCGAGGCATATAGCATGTTCATCTGGCCTCCTGAAATCCCATTCCAGAATTTCATCCAATCCGTTCCCGAGATCTCAATGTTCATTAACTGTATGAAGTGAGTGATTCCCACCCCCTGGAGGCGCTGGAATCGTACTGACACTATCTTCCCAGCGATGTCCTCTCTTTTTACAAGGAAGAGATCAAGGGCGAGACTGTGAACTATATCACTATCCAGGCTGAATCAAGGGGAAAGCCCAAGCTTTCAATACTGGACCAATTGGCGCAAGATGTTGCCACCTGCCATATTCGTGCGGTCCGCATGCTTTCAGAAAAGGATTCAAAGACGACATACAAACCCTCAATACCAACCGCCAAGGCTTGCTACGAAGGATTCGTAGTTGGATACGTCTCATTCCATGCCTCCTATGTGAAAAGATACCGCTTAAACGAGCTGGGAAGTGGTTGGTGATTAGTTTGTGGTTATATACGAGTTATATTGGGATAGAATTTTGTTGTTTTTCTTTGGGTTGTACAAATAGAGTGTGTTGAAGTGGACAAGTTGAAACTGTATTTCAAGTCACTTTGCCGGAGTGGTTAACGGGATCGCCTGCTACCTTTGTAGTTCAGCGGTTGGTCTTTGACCGCGAGTGTTCGAATCGCTCAGGTGACGCATTTTTTGTTTCTTCTGACTCGACATAGTCTTCTCATTTTTATCATCCATTATTTTGGTGACCGTGAGTGTCTACTTCTTATCTTTGGTTCCTTTTCTCGCCGAATTTAGCTTGTAGGTAATTTGAGGCCCCCTATCTGTCTCGATAATTTCAAGTTCATTTTACACCTTCGTGAGCGATGTGTGTTGGTTTTATTTGTAAAAAAATACAGAGGAAGAACTGAACATGGAAGGTAGTTTAATCAAGAGGCAGATAGTACCCTGTCTCGAATGAGAACAGGCTTGTCCCTGTTTCCGCTTAAATTTGCTGTGCACGCTAGATCTTCAATGTCTTTCACTTAATCATACAAGGAATCTAGTAGTCGTGCTGGTTCCTGCTGGTTCATACAATGCTTCGAGCATCCTGTGGACCTTGAACAAATAGGAGGTTTTAAGCACAATACTCAATTGATCGTTCGATATCCGCTGAGTCAGGACTTTGACGTTGTAAGATATTTATCAGCTCATTGCAAACTGGCGCTTCAGCCTCCAGCCAAGTAATGCAGTCACATTCGCCGATCACCATTTAGCCGCCATGAGAAGGCAACGGTAACTTGAAGTAGTCGGGTCATATGCGAGCTAATGACCCACTAAGTTGGTTCCTATGTATCAATAATTTAGCAAGCCATAAAGCCTATAATATCTTGGGATATTAAAATTATCCCATCTTCTGTTTTCCGATGTCATACTATTCTGACTTTGAGCGCTTCCGTCTACCTCTACTTCTGACTATCTTCGACGATGTGCTTGTCTCGAATTGAATTATTTTTAAACCCTCTTCACCTCCTCATGGGAACTTTAATATTTATGAATACCATTCCACTACAATGTAAATTATTTTTATGTTTGCTCCGATTTGATGTCATAAACCCCACATATTGAATACAGTTCCAAACTGAGAGTTCAAGCTGTGAATGGAATATACGGGGAATGATCAACAAGTATAAATTTCTTGTTCTCCTGCTACACGTGAGTTCAGCATTGATAGAGTGAGGAACATACACGGTAATATTGGAGAGCATGAGCGGTTCTTCTTCTCCTCCTCAGGCTCAACAGTGGGATTCAAGGAACGGATACGTTGCACCACCACGATTTCAGCAATTACGTCCACAAGAATCCCAACAGCCGCAGCAATCTTTTCCTTCTTCCGTTCCATCCTCTAACAATCCTCCTTCACCCCCAATGCCACATGGACGATCTCAATCTTTCTTTGGCTTTAGAAAACAGTCAACAGATAATGTTCAAACTCATCAAAGGACGATATCAGCTGTCGGTCCAGGTGGCGCTGGTGTTGGCGCCCAAACATTCCAGAACAACAACTTGAACAATACCATGTCCAACAATTTCAACAATGCTCCCCAACAGGCTCAACCATTTCCAACTCAAGGGCAGCCTCCCATGCAGCAAATGCAATATCCATATCAACAACAACCAGGACAATCTCAGATACCCAATCAACCCCTCAGCTATGCAAATCAACCGCCCCAGAATCAACCGACTATGAATCATAATCAGCAACCACCACAAGGGCCACCAATTCAACCTCCAGGCCAGTTGCATCCAGTCCAACGGCAACCTCCTGCCCCACAACAAATGACTCAACAACATCCTAATTACGGTGCTCCTCATCAACAATCGCCTCAACAAAATCTGCAACAACCCCCTCAACCTCAACCTCAACCTCAACCTCAACCTCAACCACCACAAGAAGTGCCACCACAAGCACCTCAGCAGCAACAGCAACAACAACAACAGGTTCCACCACCCAATCGCAACCCCCCTGCCCCGCCACCTCTGCATCCAGAGATCCGATCAGTCGTACAACTTACAATAGCTCATGCTCACAAGGTCTATTTCTCCGGACCGCTTGTGCGCAAATTCGAACGTCAACCCGATGGTCAGAAACCTCACAAAGACGATGGCTGGACCGATGTATGGGCGCAGCTGGGTGGTACGACGTTGAGCGTGTGGGATATGAAAGAGATTCAAGAAGCCAGTAAGCAAGGCAAAGAGGTACCGCCTTCTTACATCAATGTTACCGATGCGGTGAGTTTAGTCTGGGCTTTTTTAATGATCTAATGCACTGATTGCGCCTTGGTAGTTTGTTCAAGTTCTTGGTTCACTGACCGTTCCTGCTACTGGCAATGCTCCTGCCAAGCGATACAACAATATCTTGACTCTGAATACAGCTGGATCAAACCTCCTTCTCTTTTCATGTCCATCCACTGCTGCTTTGATTTCGTGGGCCGCAGCTTTGCGTCTTGCTGCTTGGGAAAAGTCGCGTCTAGAGGAGATTTATACCGCTCATCTCATTAGGATCACACTCAATGGCAAGTGCTCATGCATTCGATTCAAGTAATTAACTCAACGTTTCCCATAGCCCGCGATGTTCCGACAACACTCGTTCGCGGGAAAATGGAGGGTTGGGCTCGTGTTCGCATAGCAGGACAAACTGATTGGAAGAAAGTCTGGCTCTCAGTATCTGCAGGCTCTGAAGGGGCTCATGGCGGACCCAGTGCTACTTTAGCCAATGCAGCGCCGACACCGACAATGAAAGGCAAACGTTTGTCTAACTTTTTCTCAAGAGATAACCCAGGGAATATTGGGTTGGTTCTGCCCCCACGACCCATCATTACAATGTACACTTCACCAAAACCGAAAGATCGCAAGAAACCGCTCTTGACGTTGTTCAATGTCACTCAAGCATTCGGTGTATACCCCGAACGTCCAGATCTCATCAACAAAAGTACCCTCATGAAGATTGAGGGCACATTTGGGGACGAGGAGATGGGCGGAACGGTTAAAGGGAAGGAGGGATGGGTCTTGATTATGCCTGAGTTGAACGAATCTAGTGTCGGACCAGGGGGTGTAGGGGAGAAGAGTCAGGCAGCTGAAATGCTGAAGTGGATAGTTGGTGCGTTGTCACGAAAGTCTACTTACTAACCGTCGCTAACCTATTATCTCAACAGCTCTTCACGATTCATTTGAACTCTATGGCCGACCCGAAGCGTGGACTTGGGATCCCCGCGATAACAATTCACTCATGTTTGGCTATCCAGTTGGGCCTCAAAAAGAGGTAGGCACTTCTTGTGGTTCCCTCACTATAACGACACCATTTTGATTACTTTCCATGTCCGCAGAGCCTCTTCCTTGATCGCGAGATTGTTGAGAATATGGACCCACGAGAAGACAGAACCTCTATGATCAGAGGGAAGATGAAGGAACTCCTCAACCAGAACTTGCGACCCTCTGTCCAGGCCGTCAAGAAACCAGAAGAAGCATCAGGTGCTCCGATTTTGCCTACTGTCGGAAACGGAAGTGGCTTCCAGCTGCCACAGCTGGACTTTGTTGGAAAAAGTCCTGTTGCCAATACCACAGACACCCAGGTCCAAGCATCTAGTGCGCCTGTTGCACCAGAAAAGCATCGTCTAACGCCTATCACTGAGGGTGGAAGCATCATGACTCATGGCCGCGGGATGTCAATTGACGCCAACGCTACGATAAGTCCAGGTGCTACACAGTCACCCCTATCGCAGACCTCACTTTCTCCGACGCCAAGCGACTTCCCAAATCTTCACACCGAGCCTCAGCGTTCTCCTCAAACTGTGCAGCCACCACAACCCATCCCACAGTCCCCCGAAGCGCAACTATCTCCCCAGGTACAGGTTGAGAACAAGCCTGAACCAGCTCACGACTCTCCCGCTAGCAGCGCTGGACCTCATACAGGCAATAGCTTTTTCAACACGCCATTCTCTGCGAGCCCGTCGACCATGAGCCCATCCAGCTTGAACCATCACCAGAACCTCCCACATTCTCCGCTTGGACAGGAACTTTTTGCTGCGGGATCTCCATTGCAACCACCGGCCGGGACTGCAGGACCTTCAGGGAGCGGCCAAACCAATTATTCTGGATCGCCGGCTCCATCTGTTGGTAATCTCCCCGGAAAGACCACTACTCCCCTTGGCTCTCCACTCGCGAGCTCATTTAGCCATACGACGGCACAACAGACCGCTGGGTCCGCTCCATTTGCTGGTTCAGCAAGTCGTGATTCAGTCGAACAACAGCCAAGTTTAGTGAATGAATACCGACCTCCGCAAACGACCCGCTCTCCGACTCTCTCAATGTCACCTTCAGCGTCGGCATCTGGTTCAAACCAGTCCCACCCTGCTTTCTTCACCGACGATAGCCGTTCAAAAACCCAGGATACAATTTCTTCCTTTGGTGCTGGCACAACTTTGAGTGATTCATCTAGTATTCTTCCCAAGTCCCAGGCTCCTCACAATACTTGGGGCGCTCGCTCACCACCTCCGCAAACGCTTCCTGGGCTGAAAGCTGTTCCCCCAGCGCAGTCTATGCAAAGGGAGGGCTCGTCACCTAACGAAGATTTTCTCAAGGAAGCCGGTGCATTATTTTACATGCAATCTGAACTCGGGTTTAATGGCGGTGCCTCACCAAGTGGCAGTGGAAGCGGTAAAAATTTACCGCCTCGTTTGAGACAACTGCAAGAACAAGGAGCACTGGCCCATGATTCAGATGAAGACGAGGATGATGATAACGATACATCATCCCTGGAATCGTATGGTCGTGGCAGAAATGCCAGTGTCGGCCAACAAAGAAAGAAACAGGATCCTGGGAGTTGGTTTGATGATACTGGACCGGCAGAACAAAATCCTCCTTACGGGGGTCCAAACATCAACAGCGTAAACCCACATCAAAACGTTGATCTTACTGATAACCACCACAATCTTCCTGGTCTTTCCTCCCCTACTACTAACAACAACCGGCCCAACGGTGCTCAAGCGTTTGAGTATCAGCAATCATCATCTTCTCGCATGGAAGTTGGTTCAACCGCAGGGCCGGCAGCTTCCGCCCCATTAGGACGTAGCCCGTCTCGATCAGGGCTGGGACGTAAACCCTCAGGAGCACGTGCTCCAACGACTTTCAAGCATAAAGCATCAGCT